ATACCGAGAGGAAAAATGGACTGGCAAGTATCAGTGGGATTGACATGAAAGGATGAAAATCTGGGAGGTAAATCGGATGCACACACGAACGGAGCACTGAGAATTTCCAGTTAGGATTATTTAGTCACAATACGTGTATAAGTATGTAGCGGGAATACTTCTGTTTCCACAAATCCAGATTTGAAAATGAATCCGTGTACTGGTAAGAAGTGGGTTAAGAAAGTGGACACAGCTGCCTTGTTCGCATGTGCCACGTAGTTGAGCCAACTGAGTTGAATGAAAACGTTATGAGAAGCATTTGGATTACCAAGAAAGAAGTCACTATACTTCAAGAAGTATGTACGAGAATTATTATGTTTCAAAGAACCAGCTATAAAAATGAGTCCGTGTACTGATGCGAATTGGGTTTAGAAAGTGGATACATGGTAAGCATGTGCCACGGATTCTCATATGTCTAGTTCAGTTAGCCTTGTCAGTGGTAGCAGTTTATGTGCCCTATACTGGTATTCCAAGGTTAAAATTTCTGATGTTTATTTCCGTAACCTTGTTGAATTGAGAGCAATAGATTAGGTCGACAAAGCTTAAGGAAGCCGAAGCCAGTCAGCCCAGCTCGACTAAGCCCGCCACGACAGAAAAGGAGACCTTACCCCTTATACTCATACCGGAAGTAGCCCAACTTCCACCGATCGAGATAATGTGTCGTCACCCGACGATAGATGTACTCAAGGTGGAACTGACACCATTCGAAGGAAATTTCAGCAGCTACTGTAGATTTATCATAGAGTTTGATAACTTCTTCGAGAGTAGAGTTATCAATCCAGAGCAGAAGTTCCTTTACTTAAATCATTATTACCGCAGGAAAGTCAGATACGCCATCGAATAATGCGTGATATTACCAAATCAACGAGGATATGGCCGAGAAAAGATATCTTAAAGGGACTTTTCGGTCAACCGTTTCATGTGGCCCGGACGCTCATAGACAGGGTGCTAGCCGAAGCCCGAAAGCCAGAAACGAACCCGATTCGTAGGTAAGACTAAAGATGAAGATGCATAACTGTTTCATCGCCCTGACTCAAATGCGTTACGGAGCAGATTTGAATGCCCCACACACCTAAGATTCGATAGTCCAATCGCATATCGCCGCAGTTTTACATCACATACTGGACGCATCTTTGGCTCTCAACATAGACGCATCCAACGTAGCAGTAGGTGAGGTATTGCGGCAACGTGTAGGCGAAGAGTGGCAACATTTAGCATTAACAATTATTGACAATAACATTTACAAACGACTGAGTCTCTTTACAGCACGTTTGGCCGCGAAC